GAGGCCAGCCTGGTCTACAGAGTGAGATCCAGAACAGGCACCAAAACTACACAGAGAAACCCTGTCTCAGAAATCAAACAAACAAAAAACAAAACAAATACACATACACATACACAAGTAGAGCTGGGGTTGTAGCTCAGTGGTAGTTTGCCTAGTATACGTGAAGTCCTGGGTTCATCCCTAACACTGGGGAGAAGGGCAGGAAAGAGAGAAAGAAGGAAAGAATGAAAGCTTCTAGATCTAAGGGTTGGATGTGGTGATGTGCCTATCGTCTCATTCACTTGGAAGGCTGAGGCAGAAGGATTGTTGGACCCCAGGAGTTAGAGTTAGGAGGCAACCTGGGCAACACAGGAAGAACCTGTCTCAAAAAAAAAAAAAAAAAAAAAAAAAAAAAAAAAAAAAAAGAAAAAAAGAAATTGAAGGGTTTCCTGAACCCAGAGCCAGTTCATGTTTGTGCAAACAGCAATGCCCCGAGAACATGCATAAAATGAGTGCTCCTTTCAGTGCACAGGGAATACAGGTTTTTGCCACAGGTTGCGGTGGGCTCTGGGAATAGCTGCTAGCCATCCACAACATGCCTCTTGGGCATGAGGTCTGCCTGTTCTAGGCTATTCTGGCCCTGCTTTCTCCCTATGTGGTGAGGCAGAGCCTGGCTTGTGTTGCCCAGGATTCCTGTGGGGTAACATAAAATCCTCTGGCAATTTACAATTATTAAGTCATTCAAATTTCATATCCCACTTGAGTGCTAGCCACATCAGAGGGAGTTTTAAAGGACAATGAAATGTCTCTGCATAAATGAATCATAATGATTAAAATGTACCAAAAAAAAAAAAAATCACTGTGCACCAGGAAATCCCTGGGTAAGCACTCTGTGTTTATTCCCCAGACTCCAGGAGGTGGGGTTTGTTTTACAGATGAGGAAAACCTAGGCTCAAAGGGATTAAGACCTTTCTCTAGGGGTTAGAGAGATGGCTCAGTAGTTGGAAATGTGTACAGCTCTTACAGAAGACCTGAGTTCAATTCCAGCACTAGTACCAGGTAGCTTCACAAAAGCCTGTTAGCTTCAGCACCAGGGGATTTGATGTCCTCTTCTGGTTTCTGTGGGCACCAGCATCCATGTAAGCACACATACACACACATATTTTAAATGAAAATAAGAGCCTTCCATGAATACCATGAATTTCTCCCCCCAACACCAAAATGCCTTCAAATTTAGCCTAAATCCAAGATCCTTCAGAATCCAGGCTCCTCTTTTAACCTTAGTTAGTAGCCACCTTAGTGTCTTGGCAACAAAGGCCCCATTCCCACATTGGGGCCTATTCCTATTACCTTCATTCTACAATGAAGGTTCTGGGGAGTCTCAGGTCATCAGGCCTGACTGCAGGAGCTTTCACTTACTAAGTTATTTCGATGGTCCTCATAGAAAGCTCTTAATGGACAAGGTGATCAAATCAGATTTTTAAATATTTTTATGTGTAGGGGGTTTTACCTGCTATATGTCTGTGCATGTACATGCCTGTCACCCAAGGATGCCAGGAGAAGGCATCAGATTCCCTGGAACTAGAGTTAGAAATGGTTGTGAGCTACCATGTGTACTGGGAATTGAACCTGGGTCCTCTGGGTGAGCAGCCACTGCTCATAACCTGTGAGCCCTCTCTTTAACAACCAAATCAGATTTTCTTGCCAGTATCTATCTGTGATGAGAGGGTTGCTATGCTGAAGGCAAGCTGTCTGACAGATGTAGAAGTAATGCCTTGGGTTTGAAGCCCAGGATGTCCACTTAGAAGTCACACAAATGACCTTTTCAGGTCCTTGAGTCTTAATTTCTTTGCTGGTGAATAAGGGGTAACACTCATTTTACAGTGTTGTCAGGAGGATGAGTTAACCTATGAAAAATGTCTACACATAGTAGGTGTTCGGTGTTAGCGGCTCTGTGGGATGTGGGAGTGTTGAAATGGGTTGTACGTGTTCAGCAAGCCCTCAACCATGGCTCCAGGGTCAGCTTTTTAAGAAATGATGAAATCAGGACAATGGTTCTACCACTGAACTACAGCTCTAGCCCCAAGGCTCATGCTTTGGATGAAAGGAGAGAGCCCTATCTCTATGACTTTGCTCTCTGGGCTTCTCCTGCTTGATTGCCTGAGGTCAGAATCTTATCTACACTTTAACATTATTTTGCCCAGGATCTATCCTGTTTGAAAGCGATAATGCTCACAGAAGGCTTAGCAAAGGCCCAGCCCATGCTAATTGCATGATGCTTGTAGCTATTATTAAGATTAAAAAAAGGAAACTAGCTCAGAAAAGAATAACAATTAAGCAATTATCAATCTGCTATCAGCCTACTGTAAACAAGAAGTCAAATCTTTCTGCTGGGAACAGATTTTGATTGGGATAAAGAAGTCTGAGATCTCAGAACCTGTGATGAGAAGCTGGGGAACTGAAGGACCACCTGGGAATTTCCCCTGGAGTTACTCAAGCCTGAGGAGGAGTGGGAACTCCACACTTGAGGATGCCATAGTAGGAAGTAGCTGCTGTGTCCTGGTCAGGAGATGGGGAGGCTCAGCCAGGTAGAGGTGGTGGGGAACATGCCTTCCAGGTGTTCTTTTACCCTTCTGGGAGCATCTGGGGCTCCCAGGAGTTGTCATGAATTAGGTATGCACTACATGTAAAGCTTAAAAAAAAAAAAAAAGCAAAAAAACCCAAGCAGGGCACAGATGCCTGCAATTCCAGTAGAGGCAAGAGGATCAGGAGTTCAAGGTCATCCTCAGGCACATAGGGAATTGAAGTTAGCCTGAGCTACTTGAGACCCTCTCTCAAAAAACAAGCAAGCTAACAAACCCAGAAATACCAACCTACACCCCAGCGCCCAAACCCACCAATGTAGTAGGTAGGAATCAGAACACAATCTTTTTTTTTTTTGGATTTTTGAGAGAGGGTTTTTCTGTGTAGCCCTAGCCATCCTGGAACCCACTCTGTAGACCAGGATAGCCTCAAACTCAGAGCTCCACCTGCCTCTGCGCCCCCACCCCCAAGGCTGGGATTAAAAGATACACACCACCATTGCCCAGAACAGTCTTAATAGTCTTGTGTGTGCATGTTCACGTGTGGAAGCCAGAGGACAACCTCAGGTGTTCTTCCTCAGGTGCTGTCCACCTTTTTATTTTTGAGACAGGGTCTCTCACTGGCCTAGATCTCACCAGACAGAGCGTGCCCATTGGCCAGTGAGCCTGAGGGATCTATCTGTTGGTCACCAGCTCCTCAGTGCTGGGATTAGAAACACAGGTCATCATGCTAGACTTTTTCTGAGTAAATTCTGGGGACTGAACTGGGGTCCTCATGCTTGCAAGGCAAGCATTCTTTACCACTTAGGTATGTCCTCAGATCCAGGGCACTAGTTTTACCTCTGTCCACTACATTGGTCACATGGCCTTAGCAAAATCTGTCAGTTTTGAGCCTCAAATTTTTCGGTTTCGTTTTGTGTGGATGATAGTCAAGCCTCTTTGATTTTTCATTAGTAAGAATGGATATTACCTATTTCTTGGGACTATATAAGCTAATGAATACTCTGAATCTTCATAGTTCGTAGATGCCTGTGACTCCTTTTCACTTAATATTACTGTTTGCTGGGGATAAGGCTCCTACTGAGGGGTGCAAGTGTGGTGTGTAAAGTGTAGATGGAGGTGGGAGGAGGGGACCTTATCAACAAGTGTCACCTCAGCAAACGATGATGGGGAGCCGACTACAGGTTGTGGCCAAAGGCCTCTCCAGTCTTGGGGAAGGCCTCGGTAAGACATCCACCCTAAAGAGCCCTGGGTCAAAGTTGCTGGTAAGGCAGGTCCGTTTGCATCCTAGAAGGCAAGATTCATCTCAGAGAAGGTGGAATCCAGATTCTGGATTCGCTCCATTCATTCCCAGCTGGGTGACCTTGGGGAAGTCACTTTTCTTCTCTGGGCCTCCTCGTTCCATTTCGCACTTAAGAGCATCCGAGGACGACGTGTCGACATAATGCCCGTGACTTGCGACGTCAAGTGCCGGCAAGTAGCATCTGTTATGTTAATAAGTCCCTGCGGCAGGCGGGTTCCTATCAGTCGCCGTGCGCTCTGGCTTAGCCGTTCCCTCTACAGCGACTCGGTTTCTCGCTCCGGCGCCTCTCGACGCTCGCTGGTAGGTCTCGGCGGACCTTGGCCTCGGGTGCCGTTACTATTGTTCTTCCAGGCTGGGCCTCAGGGGAGGGCTCTCTCCCTAAAAACCTCTCCTTTGGTCTCTCCCTCCGCCCGGCACCGTGCGGCGGAGAGCCTCAGCAGCCCCAGATCACCGATCTTTCCCGAGAAATAGAGTCAGCTCCAGCGGCTCTCCCGAGCAGCGGCCGAAGACGCTCCCGAGAGCTCCCGAAGAACCCCGGCCGTTCCCAGTTTCCGGAAAGAGCCGAAGGAGCTTTCTACCCTCGGCCCGCCGAGCCCTTCCGAAAAAGGCCGAAAAGCTCCGAGCGGCCGTCCTGCCGGACTGCTGGAGGCGGCCGCAGCGCCATGTTGGATGCTCTGCTCGTTGAGTGAAGAAAATCCGTCCGCATCGCCCGAGCCCCGCTACCGAGAAGGGCGCCGCTTCCCCCGGGGAGGGGGACAGAGACCCCCCGCCGCCGGTCCATGAGGATATTGCCGTGAAAGGTCCGGTCTCTCCGCCTCCTGCCCCCGCCGGGTCCGGCCCCCCCCTCCCCGGGGTCGCGTTGTCACGGAGACCGGCAGCCGGTGGTGCTGGCCCGCGGGGCGGCTGCTGCTGCCGGCGGCGGCGGCGGCGGAGGCGGCGGCGGCGGCGGCGGAGGGCGTGTGTGACCGGTCCCGGCCCCCTCCTCCTCCTCCTCCCAGCCTCCCCCCGGCCCCCCGCTCCCGCCGCCTCCCCGGGTCTGCCCCCATCCCGCCCCTCCGCTGCCCCCGGCCCCTGCACCCCGGCGCGCCCGGTCCCGCTCTGGGGGGGTTGGTGGCTTCGCTTTGCCATGAGTTTACCGCAGAAACCGGCTCTGAAATCAGGCTCAGCGGCTGCAGCAGGAACCGGACCCGGCACCGGAGCGGCGGCGGCGGCGGCGGCGGCAGCGGCAGCGGCGGCGGTACCGCCTCCTCACCCGGCGGCGGCGGCAGCGGCGGCGGCGGCGGCAGCAGCAGCGGCAGCGGCAGCGGCGGCCCCTCCTCACCCGAACATCAGGGCCCTCCAGACCCCGGCGCCCCAACAGTATCCTTTTCACCTTCCAGCGGTCCAGAGCGACCCTTAGTGGGAGCCTCCTTGCCTGCCGCCACAGCCCAGCAAGGGAAGGGACGGGCAGCCGCTCAAGCCCGGTGCTCCGGGTTTGGCCCGAGCTTTTGGGGTGCACCGGTGGCAGCATTGCTGGGACCCCGGGACCCCCTGCGGTACCGTGCACCCTAGCTCCACCGGGCCATGCCTCTGCAGCTCTTGTGGATCTGGGGGAACCCTGCCCTTGAAAGCCCCCTCCCCTTTATTGGGCAGAATTTGCTGGTGCCTGGAACCAGCCCTGCAGGCAAGGCTTTTCTGATTGTTGGGAGGCCCTGCCTTCTGCGGGGCTCGGTGGCCTCCCTATTATTTCGAAGCCACGGTAAACTTTATTAAAGGTAAATTTCCTGTTCGAAACGAATCAGCTCGTTCCCGAGGTAAGTTGGGTCCTCTGCGTATAGTGCAAGTGTACAAAAAGCACTACCTCTGGCTAATGTATTTAAAAAAATTTTTTTAAAGCAATTAAGAGTTGTGTTGTGGTTTGTGGTGGAACGGGCTAAGGAGGAAATGTTACAGTGGACTCTTCCCTGTCTTTGACCTTTTTAAAGGAAGAGGAAGTTAACTCACATTACCCAGCACCCCCAGAAGTGTCACTTCTTCCAAGACTGGTGTTTTGCTGAACATTTTTTCCCCCAAGGGCTTTATTTAGTAAGTTTGCCCCGCTATAGGCCTAATGTCTGGACGGTACCAGGACTCCTGAGAAAGAGTCTAGTTTCGAATGTGTCTTAATTTCATGATGTCGAAGTTGGGACAGCTTTGATTGAAAAAATCTTAGTGACCAGGTGTTTTAATCAGAATAAAACGTCGAATTCATGGCTCCCATGGAGCTTCAGCAAGGTGTTTTTCTTTTTTTTTTCTTCGGTTTTTTGGAGACAGGGTTTCTCTATGTATTGTAGCCCTGGCTGTAGACCAGGCTGGCCTCGAACTCAAGAGATTTGCCTGCCTCTGCCTCGAGAGTGCTGGTATTAAAAGTGTTCGCCGCTGCCCGCCACCACCACCTAATAAGCAAGGTGTTTGTTGCCTACCTGAGAATAACATTTCATCATTCACCCCTCCTCCCTACCGTCCCTTGTACTTGTGAAAATCAACAAATGATTATTGGATGTCTGCTGTGCTGTGACTTTGGCATCTGCCACCCTGTATTTGACTGTAGACATAGTCATGCTGTTTGAGCTAGTAGGTGCCGGCGGTGAGGGCTGCAGAGCTTTTCCATCTAGTTTGATTCTTGTCTGTATTGGTTACTTTGAGAAGGGAAAAACACTTCCCTTGGGTCACCTCAGGTCGTGGCTTGCTTTCTGTCAAGTGTCCTTTCTGTGTTCTCTAAGTGTTGTTAGTCCACATCTTTCAGAGCTCCAGTGTGGTGTGTGCACTGATTTCATAACGTTTTGACCCTGCGTGGTTCTGTTACGTGCTCGCTCACTGCTGAGAATGTTTAGTGTTCGTGGAAAACCCAGTTACTTCTGACCCACATGCGCAGCTGCTGGCCTGTGAAGGAGCAGGTTGGCTGCTTAGCCTGCTTCAGGGTAGAATTGGGTCGCTTCATCTACCTAGCTTCACTTCATACTTAGTTCAGATTCCTTCCTAATTTTAGGGTTGTTTTTCTTGATGGACTGTGCTTGTAGGTTTCTGTCTCAGGACCAAGTGAGTTATTCATTACCTGCCTCTTTTAGGGAGTTAACCAGAGGAAGCACATAGCATGTGCTCGTGACATACAGAATAGGAAGTAGGGAATCACAGTGTTGTATGTGACAGCCCGTGGTGAAGTTGGTGGCTTCTTTGACTATGAATCGGGTGACTTGAGTATCCCAACTGTGCTTTTTCTCGGTGCACTTCACAGTCGAAGGACTGGAAAGACTCGCAGCTGGTTACAACCTGGAAGTAGTGACTGGTGCTTCAAGTTAAATTTTTATCTTTTCGGGCTGGAGAGATGGCTCAGAGGTTAAGAGCACTGACTGCTCTTCCAGAGGTCCTGAGTTCAATTCCCAGCAACCACATGGTGGCTCACAACCATCTGTAATGAGAGCTGGTACCTTCTTCTGTATACATAATAAATAAATAAATCTTTAAAAAAAAAAAAAAAAAAAAAAATTTTTATCTTTTCTTTAGAATAGAAGATACATCTGTTAAAGATGAGTAAGTTTAAGGTGCCCTTTTCAGAGGACATCATTTTAAATCCTTCGTCACAATATTGGTTCCAACTATGTTGCTTTAGGGTTGCATTTTGCCCCATGTCATGGCAGCTGACATTTTACACTTGATGTATTCTACAGTTCCTGCCTTTCATCTGGCAAGATTACATTGCTAAATTGTAAGCGTTTATCTAGATAGTAAATGAAGCACAGGCTGCAGGCTTCTCCGAACACGTGAGTGGTAAAATAGTGTCACCTGGTAATGGACGAGGTCGGAAATGGATTGAAGTAGAGCAGTTCTGCTTTCCAACTGGAGGGAATGTGGGCATTTGGGTTTGCAAGCGCCATCATCATCAGTAAGTTGTACCCGTGAAGCCCTGGGCTGAAATGCAGAGCTGGAGTTACTCTTTGCGTGGCTTGAGTAGATCTCAGAATATATGGGTACAATTGCTTGCTTCAAATTAATTAGCTTAAGCTGTATATTAAAGTATTGGAAGGGGTTGTATGGCCAGGTGTCCTTCATTTGTACTGAGTGTTCAAGTGTCAATCGAAATGAAGGGAAGTGTTGGAAACAAGGGATTTGAATGTAAACTTGAAGCTATTTCTAAGGAGGCATCAGCTTTGCACAGCAGGAAGGACCCTTGAAGCCAGTTGAAGGAGAAATGGCCACATAGACTGCAAAGAGTCAAAGGATGGCTCCTGGCAGAGCGAGGTCTGGGGGAAGAAAAACCCTACCTAACATGAAAAGTACTAACAGCCAGGAGAACGTGCTGAGGGTTTCTGGAACAGAAGCCAGCTTGAAGCTTCTACCGGGTGAAATCGCAGCTTGGGAATATTTGGCTTGAGATATGCTCAGCTCTCTGTTGCGGTTGGGACGGCTCTGTTAAGAATCTTGACAGTGGACATCCTTTTTCTGGCTGACAGAACAGCTGACATTTTGATCAAAAGCAGTCCTTACACAGACTTTCTACTGAAATTCTTCAGGGGGTTTCTGGGTTTCCCATTAAATCCCAGCTCTGGAGATTGAGACTGCCTGCCTGCCTACCTTTCAGAAAATTCTGGATAAATGAACTTGAGTTAGGTGCCCACTTGAGCAGAAGGGCTGTTCCATATGTTAGGAATACAGTATTCTCCCTGTATGGGAGACTTCTGGGTGTGACTTCTCTCAGGGTTGCTGATAGTCCTGAGGAGTCTTCTTACTGTTTTGGAGCAGCCAGTTAAGAAAATGAGCCAGGGAAGGCTGGAGAGATGGCTCAGTGGTTAAGAGCACAGTCTGCTCTTCCAGAGGACCAGAGTTCAATTCCCAGCATCCCCATGGCAGCTCACAACTGTCTGTAACTAGTTCCAGGGGGATCCAACACTTTCACACAGACATACATGCAGGCAAAATACCAATGCACATAAAATACAAATAAATAAGTCATCTTTAAAAAAAAAAAAAAGAAAGAAATTTGCTGATTATGCCATGCTGTGGTGGTGCACACCTTTGATCCCAGCGCTGGGGAGGCAGAGGCAGGTGGATCTCTGTGAGTTTGAGGCCAGCCTGATCTACAGAGCTAGTTCCAAGACAGCCAGGGCTATGTAGAGAGACCCTGTTTCACAAACAAACAAAAAAAAAAAGAAAAAAAGAAAGAAAAAGAAAATGAGACAGTAGACTTCCCCAGGAGCAGAACTAGGTGGAGATCCGTGTTGACCAGAAGATGACTTGTGTCTCTAGTTCCTTTGTCATAAGTGTTCTTTCGATCTTTGCGATATTGCCGTTGCTTTTTTTGCTTGTTTTTAATTTTTCTCCCATCGATTTTAAGCTGTTCTTTACGGGAGAAGCTTGTAATGTCTTTTTTTTTTTTTTTGCCTTCCGGATAACTAGATTTGGATAATAATACCCACTGCTCTAGAAGTCATATATGCAGGAGTCTATTTAATTTTTCCAAGATATCTGATAAGGTAGGTGTTGTCTGTTTTTCAGACAAGGGTACTGATGTTCAGGGAAGTTAGTTACATTTCCTGTGCTAGTGAAAGGTAGTGTGTGGCAGACTAATGACCAAGGCCAAGCCCACAGCACCCCTCTTCCTCGGCTGGGTGAGCAGCCTGTGTGTAAGGCTGGGAGGAAGATTCAGTTTTCTCCTGTATTTGAGAGAAGCCATGTGGCGTAATCTAGAACACAGCCCTGCTGCCCAGGGTTTTAATTAGTTCACAGCCACAGACTGCTCAGACAAGTATGCTCACTTCCCTCACTGAGTCTAACAGCATAGGGGCCCTCTGTTGGAGTTAGTCGGGTTTCTGCTTGTTCAGAAGTCAGCAAGGCCTCCAGCAAAATCCCTTTATAGCTAGCAGCTGGGATGCAGAGGCTGCCCTGGTGTCGAGTATTTCTCCATTCCTAAGCCTCTCCAGCGAGCAAGTGTCAAATCTTGAATGCTGTGAGACAGAGGCAGGCAGATCTCTGGGCTACACAGTTTCAAACCAAGGCAAGCCACACAAGTTTTTGAAGGCAGATCCTCATGAGGAGGAGAGAGGGAGGCAGAGGCACCATGGGGATCGAGTCCCCAGGTGCCTGTCACAGCGCAGCCTCCTGCCTTCAGCAGGTTGACTGCTTACAGAGGGGGTGGACGTTGGTCACACTGAGTTTAGGCTACCTTGGCACTAATAAGTTGCTGTTTTACCTTGATGTTTCTGATCAGTCTTGAGAGGGAGATTCTTTA